GGCAAATAGGGGGGGTGTGGGTAATATTATCTCACTTAGATTCCGGTTAAACTGCACATGTTGGGTTTTCCGGTCCTTTACTTTGTTTGCTATGGAGGCCTGCCACTGGTTTGTTGGCTGTGGACCGCTCCACGCAAGAGCGCAATTCTAGGTGAAAATGTGAGGACGCTCCACACCAGAGCACGATTCTGTCCCGAAATGTAAGGATGGATGAAAATGCGAGGACGCTCCACACCAAAGCGTGACTTTGCGCGAAAATACGAGGACGATCCACGCGAGAGCGCAAATATCAGTGAAAATGCAACCATGCTCCACGCCGTAGCGCGAGTCTGCGTGGAAATATGAGGATTTTTCGCGCCACAGTTCGATTTGCGTGGCAATGCCCGAGAAGGGGTTCGTTTTTTGCTGCGGAGGCCGCGCGCGTATGTGTTTTTTTTTGGTTTTCCTTTCTTTTTTTTGTGCGGAGGCTGGGCGCATTCTTTTTTTGCTGCGGAGGCCAGGCGTTTTTTTTAATTGCGGCGGCTCGGGCTCAGCACACACTTGCCCTCCGCCAAATCTGCGAGGCTGGGGAAACATGTTCTTTTTTGCTGTGGAGGCCGGGCGTGTTTATTTTTTTGCCATGGAGACCGGGCACTTTTTTTTTGCTGTGGACGCCGGGAGCGTTTCGAGGACGCTCCACACGAGAGCACAATTCCAGGTGAAAATGTGGATGCTGCACACCAGAGCGCGATTCTGTCCGGAAATGTGAGGGCGCTTCACGCGAGAGCGTAGTTCTGAAAGAATATGCTTGGACGGTCACCACCAAAGCGCCATTTTGCGCGAAAAATGCGAGGATGCTCCACGCGAGAGCGCAAATCTAGGTGAACATTTGAGGACGCTCCACACCAGAGCGCGAATCTGTCCGAGAATGTGAGGACCGGACCCTCCACGCATTCTTCACAGGAGAGCGCAATCTGAATAAAAATGCGAGGACGCTCCACACCAAAGCGCGACTTTGCGCGAAAATACATGGACGCTCCACGCGAGAGCGCAAATATCAGTGAAAATGCAACCATGCTCCACGCCGTAGCGCGAGTCTGCGCGGAAATATGAGGATTTCTCACGCCACAGTTCGATTTGCGTGGCAATGCCCGACAGGGGCGCGTTTTTTTGCTGCGGAGGCGTGTGTGTTTCTTTTTGCTGCGGAGGCAGGCGCGCTTTTTGTTTTGCTGCCGAGGTCGGGCGCGCTTTTTTTTTTGCTGCGGAGGCTCGGGCTCACTCACTCATTTGCCCTCGGACGAATCTGCGGAGGCTGGACACTTTTTTTTGCCGCGGAGGCTGGGCGCATTTTTTTTGCAGCGGAGGCTGGGCGCGTTTTTTTTTGCTGAGGAGGCTCGGGACTCACTTGTCCCTAGCCAAATCTGCGAGGCTGGGCGCATGTTCTTTTTTGCTGTGGAGGCGGGCGTGTTTTTTTTTGCTATGGAGACCGGGTACTTGTTTTTGCTGTGGACGCCTGGAGCGTTTCGAGGACGCTCCACACGAGAGCACAATTCCAGGTGAAAATGTGGATGCTGCACACCAGAGCGCGATTCTGTCCGGAAATGTGAGGGCGCTTCACGCAAGAGGGTAATTCTGAATGAATATATGCTTGGATGGTCACCACCAAAGCGCCGTTTTGCGCAAAAAAAAACGAGGATGCTCAACGCGACAGCACAATTCTAGGTGAACCTGTGAGGACGCTCCGCACCAGAGCGCGATTCAGTCCGAAAATGTGACATGAGGATTTCTCACGCCACAGTTC